GCCCCTAAACTGTGGAACGAGCTGCCTCTGCATGTCAGACAAGCTGGCTCACTTCCTGTTTTTAAGTCTTCTCTGAAGACACATCTTTTCTCTTTGGCTTTTACTTCAGTTTGAAATGTTGGTTTTAATGACTCTAAGTTATTTGTTTTATTTTATTTGTTATCTTTATTTTATTTCACATTTTTAACGTGTGTGGTTTTTATGTTTTTGTATGTCCTAGTGTACAGCACTTTGGCCAACAGTGTTGTTTTAAAGTGCTCTATAAATAAAGTTGTATTGTATAGTTGTATTGTATTGTCTGTCATACACCAGCAGAGAGTTGATGTCACAGATGAGAAAAGCACAAAACAAAAATAATCCGAACACCATCAGCAGAGGTGGATTGCAAGCCATGTACACGGGCGCCATCTTACCGGAAGTATGTGTCATACCATCTCTTCTCGAAGACCCCTTGTCAAAGGGGATCCTTGAATGATGAAGCTGGTGGCAATCTTCCCTCAGTTGCTTTTGAAGAATGTTTCATACTACATTCAATAAAATCCAATATTGGAAACTTGAGTTGGCTTTCAGGTCCGGGCTTAGCTGAGAAAAATTATTTTCCTCTTCGGATCTTCAAGTTCCCTTTAGTTACTTAAGGTGTCAATGAACTGTCCTTTAAAACTCTCCAAGTGCTTCAGCCCCTATCGTTAATGCTGAGCCTTTTTATACATTTGTCTGCTCATTGCGTAATTTCTGCATAGCAACAGTCCTGGATACGGACTATTCCACAATGTCAGATCACATGTTCAACGTCACTGTCATTGCTAAAATTATCTTTGACTGCCACTAGGTCTGTCTTCCTGCTTTTCTGTAGAGAGCTTCCTCTTTTTCTGAGAGAGCCTCTTCACTTAAGGTAACTTGTTCCTGTTTCCTGTTGACAACTTCCTCTTTTTCTACAGATAACTTACTCTTGTTCGTCCTACTGGCCTGGCCATCTGTTCAGACTTCCACTTCTTGTGGTGACTTGGCACAGATAAACATTAAGCTGTTAACTTTTGACTATCAATTCTATTCACTTTTAGTCAGTAACTAATTAATTTATTCTTAATCGTTTAAAGTTAATTCCCTTTCAATTTAAGATTTCCCAATAATCTCTTAATTTAAGCTCTATAATGTCTTCAACATTGATTAAGTCTTAATTCATAGGATTTCACACTCTTAACACATAGTATATTAGAAAGACTTCACACACTGTTACATACTATTATTTAGATTTGTTTCAATAAATAAACTTTTCTTACTTTTCCAGAACACATACTCAGGGATCTGTGATTTATACTGTGCTCAACCTTATTTTAGG